GACAGAACGTGAGTGCGGGAGGGGCAGAGAGCGAGGGAGACAGAATCTGAAGCAGGCACCAGGCTCTGAGCTGTTAGCACAGAGCTCGACGTGGGGCTCAAACTCATGAACCATGAGATCCTGACCTGAGCCAAAGTCGGACGCTCAACCAACTGAGCCACCCAGGCACCCCTAAATCTTTTAAAAATAATAAAATAAAATCTTTTTTAAAAGGTTCTCATCACAAGAAAAAAAAAGTGTAACTATGTGTAGGGCTGGATGTTAACTAAATTTATTTTGCAACACGCAAATATCGAATCATTATGTCATACACCAGAAACTGATAGAGCGTTATGTTAATTACATCTCAATTAAAAAAATTTTTTTAACGTTTATTTATTTTTGAGACAGAGACAGAGCATGAACGGGGGAGGGGCAGAGAGAGAGGGAGACACAGAATCTGAAACAGGCTCCAGGCTCTGAGCAGTCAGCACAGAGCCTGACGCGGGGCTCGAACTCACAGACAGTGAGATCGTGACCTGAGCCGAAATCGGACGCTTAACCGACTGAGCCACACAGGTGCCCCTACATCTCAATTTTAAAAAGTCCTTGGAATTTAATATAAATTAATTCCTGTTGCAAGTACGTTCCAATCATCTTGGGACACTCCAATTTTTTTTTTCAACTGTCCAGGAGTAATTGTGTATTAAAAAAAATCTTTTTTAAGTTTATTTATTTATTTTGAGAGAGAGAAAGGCAGGGAGGGGCAGAGAGACAGGGAGAGAGAGAGAGAATCCCAAGCAGACTCCACACTGTCAGCACAGAGCCTGACTCGGGCTCGAATCCATGAGCTGTGAGATCATGACCTGAGCCGAAACCAAGAGTCAGACGCTTAACCGACTGAGCCACCCAGGCACCTCAAGGAGTAATTGTTCAAGGCGCGACCCTTCTCTCTCAAAAGTATCCCAGTTTGGATGCAATGTTACATGGTACTGCTTAGCGTAAGACAGCAAAGTGGGGCTTTCAGCCTGGCTCTGCCCTGGCAGGGGCATCTCTCACAAATCACACCTCCTTAAAGCACAGGGCTTGCCAAACATTCATAGCAACCAGACTCTCTCAAATGAAAGTTCACTGCAAAAACTCCCAATAGTACAACAATTCAGAGTAGCATTTTATTGGTAAAATTTCTCTTCTATGTTCAAATTAGTATTTACGTAAAAACAATGGATTCTCACTGAGGCCGTCGAGATGGGCGCACACATTTAAAACCATACGATGTAGCTGAAATCTTCACTCTGTCACAACATCCACTTTATTTCTGCGTTGGGTGAAACCCCTGATCCACAGAGGAGTGGCAACGAGTCGCTGTCTTTTCAAGGCCTCCCCTCAAAATCTTGGTTAAAGGAAGACGGCAGGAGAATCCTAAGTTAGTTATCTCCGCTACCTTAAAAGCTGCTTCCTAACCCAGCTGAACAGGCATCTTTAAATTACGGTTTAAAATATGTTTTAAAAATGGGATTTGATACTCATATCCACGCAAATGCCAAAGCCCTTTTGGGAACCCTAGTTTGGGAAACTACTGAATAAGACAGTCAGTAGGGTCACATGTAGCTTAAAAGCCTCTGTTTCTTTTTTTTTTTTAATTTTCTTTAAAAATTTTTTTTTCAATATTTATTTATTTTTGGGACAGAGAGAGACAGAGCATGAACGGGGGAGGGGCAGAGAGAGAGGGAGACACAGAATCGGAAACAGGCTCCAGGCTCTGAGCCATCAGCCCAGAGCCCGATGCGGGGCTCGAACTCACGGACCGCGAGATCGTGACCTGGCTGAAGTCGGGCGCTTAACCGACTGTGCCACCCAGGCGCCCCAAAAGCCTCTGTTTCTAAGGTTGCTTGTTCTGAAATTGTCTGGAATCCGACAGAGGGGAGAGGCTATGACAGGTTTGTTATTTTCATGCCTGCTTGACTCACGAAGCCGGCTCCTGAACTAGAGACACACGGGCTAAATGTGCCTGTAGCTGTAAATTTGAGTCAATCGTTACCTTTTTTTTTTTTTTTAATTTACATCCTAATTAGTTAGCA